AATAAGGAACTACCTCACTTGTGGCTTATTTATATTTATTGTCCCACTTGTTTAATAAGGAACTACCTCACTTGTTCAATGAGAGACTCGAACTTAACTGGTTCTTCACATGTTCAATGAGGAAGCTAGTTTAAAGAGAATGACACCCCATAATATGAGATTTAGAGGAAACTATGATCCACAAGTAGGTTAGGCAACCTTGGCTGGGTAGCCCCTCACGCGTGAATGGTTAGGATAGTCTCATATCATAAATGATCCCAATGAGTTATAACCCACGGTTTCATATTAGAGATATAAGGAGAATATGCGGGAGGTGTGATCTTGCATATTGTGATAAAAAAGGTACATAGTTATCTGTATTATGACCCTAGTGATGAAAAGCATGTGATTTGCTTTATAATAATGTGAAATTGAGTTATCATGCCATTCTTCAAGAACATGTGATATTATCAATGAGGATTATGAATGTATGCTTTGAACATGCTAAAATGGTGTGAGTTTGATAATTGATTGCCACTTGTATTTAGATTAATTGACATGCATTAATATGAGTTAGATAAACGTTGGTTACTGAGTGGTTGTACTCACTCATTTCTTTTTAATATTACAGAAAATAGGTCATTAGGACACGATTGAAGGAAATAGATTGAGGCTTAGGATTTCGATCCTAAAATTGTGGGCCTATTTTATTTTAAGTATTTTATGTGTATAATTATTGATGATATTGCCAACTAGGAGTTTACATGTGTAATTATTTGCATTATGTGTTGTTTTTGTTAAACCATGTATTTTGGGCCTTAAGTTGAGTACATGTGTAAATTGTGAAATCTAAAAGGTCAAAATATTAGTGCAAGCAAGAAGTGAGTAAAAATGTGAATGTTGTTGAATGATTATGATGTTTAAAGATTATGATGATTATATTATTGAAGCTCCCCTTTCTGTTTTTGTAATTAAGGGGTTGAGCATTGAAAAATGTGGTTGAAGTGATATGTTATGATATGGGGTATTGCATAGGTCTGTATTAGTCTATTGAGCATGGTTTAGGGTGCAAATTAGGCTTTTGGCACTTAGAATGAAATTTGGGTACCTAAGTTATGTGTGAAATCTATAAATGAGTGTTTTGAGAAATGGGTGTCCCATTTCTAACTGAGAAATAATTTAATTGTGAAATTAGTAACACTAGATAGAGTTAGGAAAAAGTTTTTTATAGACACTTAATTGACTCAATCGAGCATCGAATGAAAAAATGGGGCACATGGAAGTTTACCCCAGTTACTGTCATATGATAGAAACAATGCTGTTAAAATTGTACAATGCGCCATGGTGCATGGTGCTTGAGCCACGATGCATTCCATAGAGAGCAACGTGTCGTGATGCACGCTTGACAAGCCACGACACACGGTTGTTTTTTGCACTATTTCATTGTTTTCAACTTTTATGCAAATGTTTTGATTGTTTTGGAATCTTATGCTTCCGCATACTAATTAAACTCTAATTTTCAACTTGCAAAGATATTTTAAGGAGTTTTAAATTTTGAAAAACTTGAGATCATACTTTGTAATTTTATAAACTTGGTAATTTAGATTGGGGTTAATCCCTTATTTACCTTAAATTTAGAGTTAATTGGAGAATAGTAAGGAGACTTTACATATGTGAATTTGGTTGTACTTGTAGATGTGTATGTGAGTATCTTAGCCTTGAGATGTGAAAATAAGTGAGATGTGACAGTATGGGCTGAGATACAGGTACAAGTGCAAGTTTCTATATTTGAATTGTTTGAATGTGTGAGTTATGGTCAAGTATATGAATATGTGCTTGTATGTGAAAAAAGGCCTTATTACGGTAAAAAAAGGTGTTTGAGTGGCCAAACTTGAATGTGAATGCGTTTTTATTGATGTATCTATTTAATTAGGTGAAAAATATCTCATTGGATGTGATTAAGACCTTAATGATGGCTAATGATATAGGGTTTTGATTTGGGATGAGTAGGAGAAAATGACATAAAATGATTGTTTTGCATTTGAGTGTCTGATTTTTAAAAGAAATATTAGATTGAGATAAAACTTTTGTCATTAGTTAGATTATAAAAGAAGTTTCACATGAGTGCTTGAATCACTTTAGTTGGATATTGTATGGAGAAATAGCGCACATCAAAAGTTTATATTAGATGAATTGTCATGATAGCAGAAACTATTATGTATACTGTGGTGCATGACATAGAAATATGGAATAGTTTTTTGTACCACATGCCGTGGCATATGATCCCTTTTTGGGCAAAATTGATTGCTTTGCCCTATTTTCTATGGTATTTGTACATTTCTATATGCCTTAGTTATATATAAATACTTATATTTTGAAGGTTCAACTTGTCTTTAAAAATTTTTTGGGACCCCAACTATTTTAAAAAATTATTTACTTTATTCTTTCTTAATTGTGAATTGTAGTAATTTAAGAGTTTAAGGACTTCTAATTAAATTTGCATGGAAGTGATATAATTTGTTGATGTTAAGGTAGAGATTACATATAACATTCAGTCTCACCTTTTCATATATTCATTTTAAGTGGGTTTCCTTTTTTTGAATTGAAATAACTATATTTTTCTAAAGGTGCTACCTAAAAAGATTGTCTCTTTGTTGTATCGAGATTTTGTGGAAGATTCGAGCCCTCATTTTGTGTATTTGTTAATAATATTGTGAGTTTAACCCTACTATCTACAAAAAGAGAAACACAAGAACTAAGTTATTTGTTGAAGTTTAAGATTAAAGTTTTAAATGACAAAAAAGTTTGATTGAGTAAAAATTTAAGGATTAGTTGAATCAAAATTATAAATACTCAATTGCTACATATTAAAATTTAGAGATTTTGTTATAACCTAATCAAAATTATAGAGACCAAATAATTATTTTTTTAAAATTTAATTATTCAATTTTTTATTTTCTTTAATTTCTATTATTAAATTTTCAATTAATCAATTCATAGAAGTACATATTAAAAATTATAGAACAAATTTTGCAAGCCTTACTTAATCCTAAATATGAGGCAATAACGTGGTAATTAAATCATTTTTCCAACCTTACCACTCTTTAATTGTAACAAGTTATTGACATGCTTTTAATTTTTATATAATATTTGAGTATAGTCATTAATTTCAGTGAAGAAAAAAAGTAGAATGTCACATGTTTTTTTTTTAAAACAAATTTAAGGTACTCCATCTATGTTCAAATGTAAACAAACTTTAACCAACTTACACATTTAAAAAAAGTTTGTTAAATATAATAATTATGTCTGAAATTCAAAAAATTAGATTAAAATACCCTTGTAATTAATCATAGCATGTGAATTTGTATCGTGAAAATAAACTCTAATTTAATGAGACGCAATATGAAGAAATATAATAAATGCTTTTTAAATTTTATAATTTTGCTTATAAAAAATAATGAAAAATATGACATTTCTCCTCGAATAAAAAATTAGGGAAAGCATTAACTATCACTTTTTAAAAGCTAAAAAATTAGTTAACTTTGTCTAATAATTAGGACGGAAGGAGTTCGTGGATTTTTTAATAATAATTTAATTATGTTGTTTTTAAATTAGAACATACTAGGTGAATAATTCTCTAGCAGTTACATAAATTTTAGTTTTCATTTTATGATTTCATTTTAAATTATAAACTCGATATATTTTCCAAACTTTACGTTATTATTTGTAAGTTTGACCTCGGTTATTATTATTATTTTTGCATACAAAGACATTCGGTTATTATTTGTAAATGTAATGACAAAATTGAAAAGACAAAGATCGGGATATAAATTTTTCTTCTTAACTGAATAAGTCCATTAACAAAATCAAGCTCGAAATTTAGGCTGCACAAAAGATTGGACGGGACTGGACTTTAACCTAACCCGGAGTTTGGTCCTTTTCATAAAAAGAATTGGGTTAGGTAACCCGTAGTCCGGTCTGGTCATGTGAAAACCCGGAGATTAACAAGACTGGACTTGGTTTATAGGATTGGAAGACTGGTCCTGTTAGTCCAATACTCACTTGGCCTTTTTTTTTCTTTTTTTTTTTCTATGATGACCAATAATCTATTTCAACTTAACAAACTCAATTAAGATAATAAAAACACTTATAATCATAATAAATCCATAATAATTTCTAACACCAAGAAAATAATATTTTAGTTACAGTCCAAACTCCAAATGATTTAAATACATAACTTCAATAAAAAATCAGAGGAAAGACCGAAAATAGATCAGAGGAAAAAAATCAGCAAGAACAGAAGTAATAAAAATCAGCAGGAACAGAAGTAATAAAAATCAGCCCACAGACATGTTTCTTCAAAGTTCGAACAGATCAAGATCAGAGTGCAAAGTGCAAGACAGGGGCTAGGGCTTTGGCGCATTGAAGAAATTGAGAATGAGAGTAAAGTTGAGTGAGTGGCTGAGACGCTAAGTGCTGTTAAATAACAGTGTTGAGGTTTTTTTTTCGATCAGAGTGCAAAGTGCAAGGCAGGATTAAGACTTTTTTTTCTAAGGCTTATTAATTAATAATTTATAAATTAATTTTAATTATATTAAAATAATTATATAGGATCAAACCGGACCACTTAGTCCAGATGCTTGGTCTCTAGTCTGGTCTTACTCGAAAAATCAGTCCTGTCTTTTTGGTTTTTTTGGTCCTATAGGACCAGTATTTTACAAGACTGAATATGACTGAATTTTCATAGGTCGGACCGGACCGAACGAGATCACGAGATTTTTGCACAGCCCTACTCGAAATGGTGGTAAAAAATGGGCTTGAGACCCAAAAATAAGTCAAAGAGTGCTGCAGGATGAGGCCCAAATAAAGGATATGTGCTGTCCAAAAAACAAAAAAAGAGGAAGCATCCAATCGAAGCGGCTGACAAATCAAAGCGTAGAGAGATCATATTCTCTATGATACTCACTTGGGAGTGGACTTTTTCTCCTTCGGCATCACAAATTTTGCTTTTCTTGGTAAAATATGGAATTTATACATGTTGGACTTTCTTTCATTATTCCATACTTGAAAAGCGAAACCAAACCCACAAGAAGTATGTTCTTGTTATGCTTCTTCCCTCCACCCACTCCTCACTCTCTCTTCTTCCCATTTCCACGCATGCTTGATTTCTGATTTTGCTTTCTTCCTCTTCCAGGTAATGGTTCCTTCTGAAGATTTAGGGTTTGTGGGTTTTATTTCAGCTCACAATTGGAGGGTTGATTCTTTTTTGAAGCGCCTTTATGTGTTTTTGAAGAATTTGACTGGAATTGCTCTTGCTTTTCTTTTTTCTAGAAATTCAATTTTGTTGTTGATTTGCTGCGGTAATCAAGCTTTAAAGTTGTGATTTTTTGGAAATTCTTAGAGAAGGTGGAAAACTGATTGTTTTCGTCTTTGAATTGTTGGTATGCAAGACCTTAATTATGAAAATCTGTGTTCCTGTTCGTCTTTATATATAAAGCAGAAAATTAAATCTTTGCAAAACCCACTGGGTTTGCTAGGGTTAATTTTAGACAAGAAATGGAAAATAATCCTGTAGAGCTTTGTCTTCGTGTCAAGAAAGTGTGATATTTGGAATCCAATGCAAGTAATATCAGAAAGAGGCTGGGGATTTAATTTTGGTTTAGGATTTGAACTTGTTTTCACCTGAAAATGTGCGCGTGCACATATTTCCATGTATATATGCAACTTTCATCATGTCAGTCCTAAGTTGGGATAAATATTCTAATAATATCTACTAAAGGAGTGAAAGGTATAAAGCGCTTGGTCTTTTATTATGGTACTCTAAGGTTCTCATGTTCCTCTTAAATGATGCCCTGTAACGTTGATGAGAAATAGTAACTGAGAAAAGAAGCATCGCCTTTAATATCTGAAAATCTTTTGTGAAGAAGCCTCCACATTCTTTGCTTTTGTTAATCTATATCTCAACATCTTGCATATGTGCATCAAATGAATGATGAAGTAGAACTTGTTATAGAAATGCAAGTTATGCCATCACAAAAATCTCACTAAATGATGATTCAATCAAGTGACTAATTATCATGCAACTCATGTCAGACTCGACCACCACTAATCATATGGCATATATTGCTTGCTTCAGCATTGACACAGGTATACAAGTCATTTGAGATAAGAGATTTTTGGGCGCTCTATGTATGTCTATCATACTAGCATCACTCTTGAGTTCTTGATGATACTACATAGTTATTTATAACTCATAATACACTTGCAGTAACAAGTGCTAAAAAATGCTATGGTCTAGCACCTAGCAATGTGCAGGCTAAATTAGCATGACGCTTGTAATTGCAACACTCGTATCAGCAGAATGATCATAAATTGCAACATCAAGTGCTAAAATCATAATAAGATACATAAATATTTGACACAGATGGTCTCTAAGCTTTAACCTAAGAAAACTGAACCATAGGCAAACAATCGATTTCCTCTTCAATATTTGATGAAGGTGGTGGAGGTGGTTTGACAGAAAGGTCAGGTCATGGCAGTGGATACAGAGCATGAACTGGTGGTGGTAGTGGACAGCAGGAATCTTTGGCAACTGCCATTGACTGGTGAAAGTTGGATCAAAGAATGCTAGACTTGAGCATCTTAAAAGTGAATTTAATCAGGGTCCCTATTTTGCTTTAATGCATATTACATGCGCTACAGCAACTGAAAAATAGCACCTGTGGCATAATGATAGCCAAGTTATACGGAACTTGCAAGGCTATACATGTAGCAGCCATTAATAACTATGGTTTATTACTAGAAATGAATGACGCATGATGAATTTCCTTAAGTTGTATGAAATGCATAAACTTTAAGTTTCAACTTTATGATTGCTGGATTGATAACTTTTCTGATACAGTGCATCCAAATTTTTTTCTTATTCTAATTGCTTATTTAAATATGTCTTGCATATGTACTGCTACCAGCACATTGCTTTTTTTCAAGTCCAGCACTGAAGGCATTTATGGAAGCATATAATTCATCTGGATCTTTCTGCTTCTGATATAAAAGAGATGCACATGGTTTCTTCGGACAAAAGTGCTGATTGCAATGCTTCTTCTGATAAATCGCTTCAAAGGCTGAGTTCTCAAAGTGATATTACTGTGTCACAAGAGACTTGTGATGATAAAAATGACTCATCCAACCCAGAGGGAGCAGGAAGAATTCCTTCTGTTGCAGCTGAGAGAGAGGTGCAAGATTCTGATGCTACTCCTGATGCACTGCAATCAGATCAAGAAGGTAGTGGATGTACTTCACCACTTCAAAGACCTTTGCAGAGTCCTAATACTAATCAGCGTCAATTACAATCTAGTGATGAAAGCCCCTCTATAATATGTGAAAAGAGTTCAAAAGAAAGTGTAGCTGAGAAAGAAGTGTGGGATTTGGATGCTACTTGCAATGCACGGAAATCAGAGCAAAAGAGTATATGCTCTTTACCTCAAGAGAAACCCTTGCAAAACCCTAGTACCATTCCACACACATTACAGTGTGGTCAGGATGGTCTCTCTATAGCACGTGAAAAAGTCTCAAAGGATGGATATAATTGGAGAAAATATGGCCAGAAAAATGTCAAGGGAAATGAATATATAAGGAGCTATTACAAGTGCACACATCCCAACTGCCCTGCAAAGAAGCAATTGGAACAGTCAAATAATGGACAGATTACAGATACCATTTGCATCGGCCAGCATAATCATCCCCAAGTAAACAGTCCACGACCTGCTGAAGAAAAATCAGACAAGCCCTCTCTTCCCATCATGAAAGGTAAGAAGCAAACTTTTCTTGCATTTAAGTTTGTATCCTTCAAAAAGTTAATGATAGTTTTTGGCATCATTGATGAAGACAACACATCCATTGAGCATGGATGTGTGCCTCAACAGATCAAGTCTCTAGAAACTCATCCTGTTTCAACAGTTTCCACAATTAATGAGGTCAAAGCTGCACTTTTACAGTCGACTGGAACAAGGGATGTGGTTCTTGCCAATGAGGATCCTGAGTCAAAACGCTTGTACAATATTACAATACCTACTTTTACAGCTATTTGAATTGATATATCACATATATGATGTCTAACTTTTCTGATACTCACATTTGATTTTGAACAGGAAGAAAAACATTAGTAATGTTGATGCCCCTGGGGCTGAGAAGTCAGCTGGTGAATCTCGTCATGTTGTTCAGACTTCAAGTGAGGTTGATTTTATTAATGATGGGTACCGTTGGCGCAAGTATGGGCAGAAACTAGTAAAAGGAAATCCAAATCCAAGGTATAAGTTTTCTTTTAGTTGATTACGTACTTAATCTTATTGTCTATTTTCGTTGTGTTAGCTGGTTGTGGATATAGGTAGAACATGATAGTCATGTTAATGTCAACTCAGATATATCTTAGTGCTTCGTGGCAGCCAACCTGACACCCATTCATTGTAAATTCACGTCATTGCTCATGATATAGTTATAGCCGCCATATAGTATTTATTATGTATCACTCAAACTATATTCCTTCTGTACCTTTTGTGACATTGCAATATATGACAATTTCTGTGTTATTTCCTATCATTCTCCAGCTTTCAATATTTTTATTCATGAAAAAATTGCTTCTGATTTCTATTACATTTCTTTGGCTTACCAAGAGAGCAATGATCTTTTACCAATATTATTTGTTCTGCACTGTATCCTTATGTACGAGGAGCATTCTATTGTTAATCTTAATTGTTGTAGTTTTGACTGTTAGTTCAATTAATCTACTAGATACACAAGGATGTGCTTTCTTTGAAATTCTGTACATAGATATTTTTTTCCCATATGTATATAGATAACTTCTTATGAATCCCTGTGTTTTTTTCTTGGCAGCATTATAAAAATGGTTTTTCTATATCCGGTTGTCCTCTATCCCTCATACTTCAATTTTTTCTGGGATCCTAGGATTCTTGTATATTCTTGGTTTTTTCAAACAAATGTTTATTTGTGGTGATTTAGGAGAAGAAAATATTTCTCTCATTAATTCAGAAGTATGAATTACAGCCACTATATGCATATGAAGTTCAGAGACAAACTAATAAATACTAATAACTCCTAATAATTAGCAATAATCCCTAATAATCAGGCTAGAATATCCCTAATAATCAGTCTTAATATTTACAATAAAATTCAGATATTCCCACGCTCCCCCTCAAGTTGGATCATAGATACTTTTCATGTCCAATTTGCTTATGCAATTCTCAAATGCAGGTCTAAGTAACCTTTTAGTTAAAACATCAGCTGTTTGCGACTTTGTAGACAAATAACTTAAACATAGAATTCCATCTTCTATTGTTTTTCTAATGAAGTGTCAGTTTATCTCAACATGTTTATATCTGTCATGTTGTACTAGATTTAAGGCCATATTCATGGCAGCCTTATTATCACAGTAGAGCTTCAATGGTGATCTTGCTTCAACTTGTATTTCATGTAAGACTCATTTCAGTCACAACTCCTCTGCTATTCCTTGAGCCAAAGCTCTTCAAACTTAACACTACTTCTTGAACCAACTCGTTGCTTTTGGCTTCTTCATGGAACTAAATTCCTCACACAAATGAGCAATAGCCGGAAGTTGATCTTTGATTTGTATAGGTTCCACCTTAACTTGCATCAGTGTAAACTTCGATGGATCCTTACTCATGTTTTTTTGAAGAACAAGCCACTACCAGGAGTACCTTTAAGATATCTCAAAATCTTATAGACTGCCTCCATATGACTTTTCATTGGACAACTCATATATTGACTGACTACAACAACAACAACAACAACAAGCCTTTATCCCACTAGGTGGGGTCAGCTACATGGATTGCAAAACGCTATTGTGCTCTATCATTTATCAAGCTTTTAGGAATATTATTAATTAAGAGATCGCGTTCAACAACTTCCAAGAGTATTCTTTTAGGCCTTCCTCTACCCCTCTTAATCGGACTCAAAGTTATATGTTCCACTCTTCTCACTGGTGCCTCCCTTGGTCTTCTTTGTATATGCCCAAAGCATCTCAACCGATTTTCTATCATTTTTTCCTTAATAGGTGCTACCCTCACTTTTTCGCATACGTGCTCATTTCGAATTTTATCTTTACGTGTATGTGCGCACATCCATAGTAACATTCTCATTTCTGCTACTTCAACTTTATGCTCTTGCTGTCTCGTTAGAGCCCAGCATTCACTACTATATAACATTACCGGTCTGATAGCAGTGCGATAAAACTTTCCTTTAAGTTTATTAGGCACTTTACGGTCGCAAATAACTCTTTTAGCTTTTTTCCAATTAAATCACCCAGCTTGAATCCTATGTGAAGTATCTCCACTGATTTCGCCATCATCTTGAATAATGGCTCCCAAATATCTAAACTTTTCCGCATGAGGTATAATTTGATCTCCCAATTTCACTTCCAAATTATTTTCGAATAGTTTCTTACCAAATTTACAATATAAATATTCCGTCTTACTCCTACTTAGACGGAAACCTTTCGACTCCAATGTCCTCTTCCATAACTCAAGTTTGCAATTAACCTCTTCTCTTGTCTCTGCTATAAGAACTATATCATCTACAAAAAGCATACATTTGGGAATTTCCCTTTGAATATGTTCCGTCAAAACATTTAAGATCAAGTTGAACAGATAAGGACTCAGAGATGATCCCTGATGTAGTGCAATCTTTATAGAAAAATCCTTTGTTTGACCACTAGGCGTTCTTATACTAGTTTTTATCTCCTCAGACATATCTTGTATGGCTTTAATATAAGCAATCCGTACTTCCCTCATACATATATTGACTGACTACATTGACAACAAATGCTATATCTAGCCTTGTATGAGAGAGAGATGTATTAGTTTCCAACGAGTTTCTGATATCTCTGCTTGTCAGCAGCTTCTTCCTTTTCTTTGGCTTCCTCCTCTTCTTCTTCACCTTCCTTATTTACCTTAGGCTTCTTCTTTGGTTTCATTACTTCAATAGGAGTTTCAGCAGGTCTGCTGCCCAACATACTTGTCTTTGTCAGGAAAGTAAGTATATATTTTCTTTAAGAAACATAAATTCCTCTTCTTGACCGGACAACTTCCACCCCAAGGAAGTGTTTTAACTTCTCGAGATCCTTGACCTCAAATTTCTTGCTAATGGTAGTCTTCACTCTCTCTATCTCTTCAAGGTGATCTCCTATGAGTATTATGTCATTAACATAGACAATAAGAATGCACTTCTTACTTCCCTCGACCTTAACAAACATTGTATGGTTCGTTAGGGTTTGCTTGTAACCTTTGGACTTCAGAACTTTTCCCGTCAAACCAAGCTCTTAGTGAATGTTTCAAGCCATATATAGACTTATCTAGTTTACAGACTTGTTTCTCCCTATCTTTATCAAACCTGAGAGGTGGAGTCATATAGACTTCTTTCTTCAATTCTCCATTCAAAAAAGCATTTTTTATGTCAAGTTGATGAAGGGGCCACTCAAGATCAGCTGCCATAGACAATAAAACTCTAATAGTGTTCAATTTTGCCACCAAAGCAAATGTCTCTTCATAGTCCAGTCCATATGTTTGAGTAAACCCCCTTGCAACCAAGCAAGCTTTCAATTTGTCAAGAGTTTCATCAGCCTTGTATTCTGAGGTGAACATCCGCTTACAACTCATTGTTCTCTTTCCGTTAGGTAGCTGAACTAGTTCCCATGTCCCATTCTTTTTTAGGGCTCTTATTTCTTCCATGATAGCACTTTGCCATTTAGGGATGCTTAAGGCTTCTTGTATAGTCTCAGGTACTTTCACCTTATCAAGATTAGTAACAAATGCTCGATATTAGGGAGAAAGTGCATTGTATGAAATAAATCTCTCTATTGGATGAAAAGTCCAAGAATGTGGTTGCTTCCTTAAAGCAACAGGAAGATCAAGGTCAATGGATTCACTTACATGTTCTACATTACCTAAGTCTCTAGGAGTTTCTGCCTCAAGAGCTACCTCTGGTTCTGACTCTCTTGGTGCTTCAGATACAAGTTACTCACTATCTTTCAATCTCTTTTTCTGAGTATAAACAGATAGTTCTTCTCTTTATGGTCTTTCTGCATCTCCTCTTGTTTGTCCGTGTTCCTCAGGTTGTGGTATAAGAAAAGATGAAGGTAATAGTTCAGGAGTTAGTAATGGTTCAGTTCGTTCAAACCATGGCTTAGGAAGCACTAATTCTCTGTTAGGTTCTTGTTCTCAAGTTTGAGATTCGCATATTCTCTCCCCTTGAAGTGAAGATTGGGATAGAATGAAGTAGCTTCATGAAAGGTGATATTAAGGCTGACAAATATAGGTTTTGTAACAAGATCAAAACATTTGTATTCTTTTTGAGTAGGAGAATAGTTAATGAATATGCATTTGGTGGCTCGAGGTTCAAGTTTGGTGCTTTGGTGGTTATAGACAAAGGTTGTGCAACTTAAACACATGAAATGGAAGAGTAGTTTCAAGATGGGATGTAGGGAAATTACTTTGCAATTTGTGGAGAAGAGTTTCAAAGGATAAGATCCGACTGGGCATATGGTTGATGAGGTAGGTTGCGGTCAAAATGTCATCCCCTAATAAAACTTAGGCACATTGCAGGTAAACATAAATGTTTTAGCAATGTCAAGAATATGGCAATTTTTTCTTTTGGTAGCCCTATTTTGTTAAGTCGCATGGGTATGAGAACTAGTATGTACAATACCGTGCACTTAGGGGAAGGTATTCAAAGATTGGTTAAAGTACTTGGTGCCATTGTTAGTGGGTAAGAGTTGGATGGTGTTGTTAAACTGGGTTTTATTCATGTTAAAGAAATTCATGAATGTGGATGCAGCCTCAGACTTGTTTCGTAAAAGGTAAACCCAACGAACAAGCGCCTCCCTGCACCGAGCAAACCTCTCTAGCGCAGATCTTTGTGGTGGTGCATGTATCTCACATGCATTGTCGTTGGGCTTTGTTTTCTGGTGGTCGGCCAATCGGCACCTCTTGATCACAGTGAGAGTCCAGACATGCTCCATTGTCATCCACATGAAAGCCTTAAGGTACTGTACAGGAGGTCTTGTGTGATCCATCCAAAAAATAAACTTTCAGGAACCCTGATAGAGACTTGGTATTATGGGATACCAAGTCCCACATTGAGCAGTATGGGATGCTCAATGGGGTATTGGGTTGGTTCTCCCACTTCAACAGCTAACTTTTGAGGTGGGGTTTCTCATCTTATTTAGGTACCTATCAATTAGTATTAGAGCCTTGTTGTCGGCGGTTCCGAAAAGGGCTACCCATAGAGGGTTCTGACCGGAAGGAGACCGAGTTAAGTGCTGTGGAGTATAGCCGTCGGGATGTCGGTTTTTCATGGGGGGCCAATTGATTGAGACTTGATAGTATGGGATACCAAGTCCCACATTGAGTATGGGATGTTTAATGGGGTATATAAGTGAGTTGGTTCTCCCACTTCAAAAGCTAGCTTTTGAGGTAGGATTCTCCATCCTACTTAGGTACCCATCAGATCCTAATTTTTATTTTGAGCCTCTACTCTGATACCATGTGGTAATTTAAGAGAAGAAAATATTTCTCTCATTAATTCAGAAGTATGAATTACAGCCAGTATATATATATACAAAGTTCAGAGATGAACTAATAAATACTAATAATCAGCAATAATCCCTAATAATCAGGTTAAAATATCCCTCATAATCAGCGCTAATATTTACAATAAAATTTAGATATTCCCACATTATTTCTCCCGCAGACTCTTTTATCTTTGTTTGTTAGTCTCTTTCTCTATTCTTTTGGTTCAAAATTTTGGAATTTCTTTGAACGTAAAAATTATAAACAATTCCTATTAAATTCTTTAATATAAACATGACATGGAGACATTTTTTTAAAGCTCAAGATCATATGATTGGATCTCTTTTAAAAATAACGTGTGCATGTGTTTTTGTTGGAAAATTCTTTGCGCACACGAGGAGTTTTATTTAAATCTTGTCCAAAGTTCTCCCTCTCCGATAAATTTTAGCTGTTCTTTGTCCCTTTTCCTTGGTAAGTGTGGCTGTCAGCATAGCTTATCAAGTTATGGACATATTGTTCACAACTGTTTTCAGATGCTAATTTGCTGTGTTGTGAGGTGACATGGAAATATAGATGCATTCATTATAGTTATATTTAATCTCAAGTTTGTGACTCAGCATTTTCGCTCCACGCTCTTCCAGAAGTTATTATCGGTGCTCAAGTCCCGGATGCCCTGTCAAAAAGCACGTGGAAAGGGCCTCTCATGATAAAAAAATTGTGATAACCACCTATGAGGGGCATCATGATCATGAAAGCCCCTCTGGAAGGACTGTTAGTCATGACGGAGCAGCAAACACATCCACAACAATCATCAACAGTGATTCAGGAACCAAATCTGGGGAAAACTCTGTTTTTGTTGATCCAGCAGAACAACAGACTTGCTTGGACCTAGAAAGCAGATCACAGAAGCGACCAAATGGTGAGCAAATTGCAAAGCCAAAGTCTTGTGATATGGTTGAATCTGAAGGGATTGCTACTCAAGCTTCTGAAAGTCCTTGGAGTGAGAAAGAACAAAAGGGCGACACGGGTGCTGGAAATGATTCAGGCGGCCTTGGCACCACATGCCATCGAGGTTCTGAGCCTCCATGTAGATTAAATAAACAGCAGACGGATGAGGTAAGAACCATATCAGAAGAAAGTAAGTTAAACAAGCAATCTGAACCTGATGCAGAACCAGTTCAAAGCTAAATTGGCAATGCTGTTTAAAGCTGAAGCTAGTTACTGAGGACCAAAATAGCTGACAATAACATAGTTAATGTAGGAATAAGTATTAAATGGGATGATGGTTGTTATCTCTATTCTAACATTTTTCTTTTTCGCTTGCTCCCTCTTGTTCTGTTCTTAGAATTTGGAAAGGTTTACTAAATAATAATAGGGGATACTACTACATTGGACATACTTGTATACTACTATTTATATGGGATAAATAAGTGAAGGCTGTACAAAAACGTGTGGATGTATTTTAGTTTTCGTTCTTCTTTTCATTTTTCATTCTTCTTTTTTTACGATGTATTGTCAACCATTAGTAATGTGCTGTTGCTGTTGCTGTTGCTGTTTTTTTTTTTTTTTGGGCAACTGGAATGAATTTTCTGCCATGTCATTTTAATGAGATAGATAGCAGGATTGTTCTTTCATGGTGTCGAGCACCACATACTTACCTGTCGCCGTGATAACTTCTGACCATTCAAATTAGACTGACAAAATTTTAAACTGTCTTTATATGATAATTTTTTTTTAAATGATAGTTATGAATTTTTTTTTTTAAGATTATATATCTATTGAAATAAAAGTATTTAAAATATAACAATAAAAATAGATTGAATCTGGACTGTTTAAAAATCAATATGAACAGCTTAGATTGATGATGAGCAGTCCAGGCTTATCCCCCCCCCCCCGGGGGTCCTTCTCTCTGAGAATGTAATGTGCTTCCGTGTCTATATGGCCTGAACAAAAGAAGTAATCAATTGTAGCTGTAATTTTTTTTTTAATATTAAAGGTTACTTTAAATTAAAGTTAACCGATGCAGAGCTGCAGACGATGCGATGGGGTGAAGGGAACCAATCAGAAGTGATTGAGCAGCTTGATGCCAAATCAATGTTCCATATTGATATTGTTTTTTCATGAGAAAACAAATTTTATTGAAAAAAGGATGTGGGATTTATTGAAGAATTATATTAATATTGTTTCTTCATGTGGGGTTTAGGAGCATGATGTTTAAATGTTTTGTCTGTGTTGATTTTAGATTAAAATTAAGTTGAATTGAATATAGATGTTTTTACTTATTGTCTAGATTTTCAAATATAGACTGTAAATTTTGTCAAAAGTCAAAAGGGCGTACCACCTGAGAGAAGTTCATGTCCACTAACCCAACAACCCAAATAATCAAATTCACAAACCAAACATTTCTTAGGGGTAAAGTTAAGTCAACATCTAAAAGAGTTTCTCCATATAAAAGCAGTTAAATTTAGGGAAAATGACAAATAAAAACCTTATAAGAGTATTAATGTTAAATTAGGATTTTTTAATACTGATATTTTTAAATTTCAGTATTTCTTCTATCATGTTTTAATACTAAAATTCTTAGTTTGACATTAATATTCTTATAAGGTCTTTGCTTGTCATTTTTCCTTCAAGGCTAAGACTCAAAGCAAATTAAATCTTCCATATTGTTATACTTAAGACGTTGACATAAGTATGTCCATATAAAATTCACATTTCATATTTACTTTTAAGAAAAATTAATCTTTTAGTCCTTATAGTTTTGACTTAGTTGTAATTCAATCTCTCAATTTTGACTCATTATAACTAAGTTTCTGAAGTTTTGACTTGATTGTAAATCATTTCTTGAACTTTGCCTTTTGTAATTTAGTCCCTGAAATTTCAACTTCTTAAATATTGATCCCTATATTTTAAAAAATAAAACTATAAAGATTAAAAATATTTTAAAATTTATTACTACTATTTTAAATTATTAAACCCTTTTAATCTTTATAAATATTATAAATATTAAAAGTTTCAATCTTCATAATTTTTTTTAAAAATAGAAGGGCTAATATTTAATAGGTTGAAATTCTAGAGACTAAATTGCAAGAAGCAAAATTTAGGGATTAATTTGTAACCAAGTCAAAACTTCAAGAACTGAGTTATAATGAGTTAAAGTTGAGGAATTAAATTATAACTAAGTTAAAACTATAAAAACTAAATGATTAACTTTCCCTTAATTTTATCATATCTACCTTTTTATGTGCATTATAAGTATTGTAAATAAAGGGCTTGAACTGGACTGAAAATCATTTTCAATCAATCGCAAATAACCATGAACTTGTTGAAGTCATAGTCAAAGTCCATTGGCTGAATTATTGAAAAGTTGGTTGGCATTTAGATAAAAAGGTTCGTCATTTAACTATCTACATTGTATCACTGAAGTCAACAAAGGGCAGAAACAGAGATTTCTTCTACGGTTGCCATGCATCTTTTAAATTCATATAATAATTTACCAAATGATACTACTGAACTTTTCCTCTAAGATAGATGAACTTTAATCTTTGAAGTTAATTCTTCCCGTGATTTGAGTTACATTCATTACGATAATAACTGCAATCTAACCAAACAATTTGGAGTGCTCAGAATTCAGGGCCGGAAAAAGTTCATGACATTGAAGAACAATATTGCTAACAAAGAAAAGAAAACTAGCTATATTTTCATATTTAACTTCTTGAAACAAGGAAAAGGGGAAGAGTCACATTTGTTGTAACGAGGATTCTTCCATCCACTTGGAGCAGGTATTGAGCAGGACAAGTAGACTTATCTGCACTTTTCTCAGATGAAACTCAGGTATGATTTTTAAGTGTTTGTTATCGGGTTCTCTAATAAAAAACATGAGAAGTTTTTTTTTAAAAAAATAAGCTCGACACCACAAAATTGGGTGTTTCAAAACCTCCTCCACATGTGATGTGTTTATTATGGAGAACTCATAACAAACTTAAGAACTCGCAGGATGCCCAGTTCTTACTTCCACGCACAAGAAGCAACTAAATCTCTAGTCATCCAACCAAGATAGAGAGCCCCACCTCTTTCTTGAAGTGTATACCTATCAGAATAATTCTCAAGCAGTTTCTTGATGGTACCATTAACCAATGAGCTCAAAGGGTAAGGTGTGAAACCAGCCATTGCAAATCTGGACCTCCACTTGCCAAGCATCTCATGCCGTTCCACCCTCTCCACTCCTTCACAAGCTATGATGTTAACAACGTCTCTTGCCAAGCAATGCTGCTCCACATTAATTCGCTCTTTGTGATCTCTGGGAAGAGTCACATCGATTGACTCAAACATAGCTTTGTAGTAGTCCAGAGCTTCAAGGAAACGAGAGAAAAACGGGGCAGTGTTCGTGTTTGATTCTTGCTCAACAAGTGTCACCACTTTTGGAGACAAGCTCTTCACAAGACGTAGCAGTCGATCCCTGTGATTCTCAGTGCTGACACTTTCGTCGGGCATGTGATGTAGCATGAATGCAAAATTCACAGCCAGAGCCTCCCCTGGTCGAACCCCAAGATTATGCAGCTGAACATCACAGCCAGAGATAGCTGCAGCATGAAATTCAAATGGCACCTTGAATTTCTCAGCCAACTTTGAAAGCCTCTTTCCCACTATGTTTAGTCCTCCTCCACGGGCATAAGCTGATGTTGAATCATCAATACCTGTAATTCGGATGTGGGGTGGCCCCCCAGGTCTAGCAGCAAAAGCCTGAATCAAAGTAATCCATTGGCTTCCCTGAGCAATTTGGAAATCAACAATATGAACTCTGTCTTCATCTTTCATGGCTTCAGCAATGGCTCCATTCGCAGACATGTAACCAAATTTGAAGTAGGGGCAGACCTCGTAAAGTATGTGCATATATGAGAGAAGATCAGCACTTGCCGGTTCTTTGCATCTTAAAGCTTTGTAGATTGAACTCCCAGAGGCAGACAATCGAGCCACAAGCCCTTCCAACAAATATGCCCCCAACCTCTGAATTGGTTCGCCAGAAACTGACACCATTTGGCGTAATTCATCCATCAAACATTGAGCCATCAACAAATCATTATCTGCAACTGCTTGTGCACATGCGACTAGAACCTGTGTCAGGTCCTTACTAGAAATTGCTTCCATTGTTTTTCTCCAACCGTCCATTTCAGGTGAAAGAAAGTTAATTCCATCCTTGAAGGTACTGTCATAGCTATCAAGATTATCAGAGTCAGGGCCAAACATTACACTCTCCAGCTCTCTCAACTTGTGCTTGAAGCTATGCAAATCATCAGTTACACAGGACCCACTCATGGGAGAGCTATACGTATAGTCAGGAGAATGACGTTGGTCAGGTGGGTATGAGTATGACTGCGAATCTTGCTGAGAGATTGGGCTGCCATTAGGCGAGAAACTCACAGTTAAAGGGGAGTTATAAGCATTGAAAATTCCAGCTTCAGAGGATGATTCCAATGTGCAATAAAGTTCAGAAGAACATGGAGTAGGGAAGTGGGTTCCATGGCTTCTGATGTCATTGCTGTATATCTGATGATTCAAGGCTTGGTACTGCGGCAAGCAGTAGGGCTCCGTTTGTTGCATGAGTTGATAGTGCATGCTTGAGTTTCTATGGTGTTCTGATGCTTGCATCGTAAAAATAGATACTCGGGTATCCAGAGTTCCTTCTGTAACAATGACTGAATTCTATACGGTTAACTGGTCCTCATGGCGACAAAACAGGATGGGCTTGGATTTTCTTTAGACATCCGGATTATGCAGAAACTGTAGCAAACTATATGTACCACAGATTTAGCATAATCTGCAAAAGAAATCACAGAAGCAGATTTACAATAACATCAGTTTCAGTATTCCTGTAATGCAATGAGAAAGAAAGCTGCAGATGAAGTAGTCAGGTAGATAACAGCAAGCTTTGGCTTAGTGGTATCCAAGTCATCTTCAAAATTGGATATAAATGCAAGAACAGAATATTTTCATGGCTTTAATTCATGAGAATAAATAGATCTGGTAAATTATAACAATTAGTCTAATTTTCTATTCCTTCTTCCGTGTATTATCAGCAACTTGACTCTCATGCCAAATTTAGAAGCTTCTTCTTCTTGTTTATTTTTTGAAAAAAGAATAAAAACTCAAGTCAAGTCAAAAAGTAAAAAGTCCAAGAAACACCAGAAAATGACCAATTCTACATGATTTTCTTAGAAGATAAAATAGGAAAATAGAGAAAAGAAAAGGAAAAAAAAAAAACTCAGAAAACGGGAACAAACTGAATGTGCAAGTCTACTTTCCAAAAGCTAAATTCAAAGATCAGACATCTAACAATTATCTTTCATCGGCACGGCACTGACTGCTGCAAAGTTTAATGAGGTTTTGAAGAAGCAATATAATTTACCATGCCCATCTAAATTGCATTATATCGGAATGCCAGAATCCGTTCCAGCAAAAATTATTATTCCAAAATAATCCCAGATTTACCTTTATTTCTGGTGCACTGATACATGCAGAAATATTCTCTGCAAAATATGTCGCTATTCAACTAGGAAATCGTACCTATACATAAATCACAGGTTATCAAAGTTCTAAAGTAATTCAAATTGATTAAGCCGAAAGGAGAGGGGAAAAGATGCGCAAACCACAAAAGCAAGTAATTCTAATCTTAGTTTCATGAAGAAACCAAATATTCCTAGCCAAGAACGTCTTTAAAAAACTGAAATTCCATTTTACCAAAAGAAAAAGTGTATAACAAGCAAAGAGGTTCATTGCAAATCATCCACACCACAAGAAGCTGATATGTTTTCATTTAATAGAAACAAAAATTGACTCATTGATGACAAGAACGGTATGTACAATGTTGCATTCATTGCCAAAACAGGTCATTAAAGAACTCCATTGAATCCAAGAATCATCAGGGGAAAGAAGTTCAGCATTTTCTCTCACACCACAGAAACAGAGACACTGGAAAAGAAGGATTTGTGTTACAATTTTACCAGAAATCATCGAACCGTTTAAGAAAATGGGAATCTGAACCGGCAAAAGGATATGTGTTACAATTTTACCAGAAAAACACCCAGTTAAGCTAAAAGACTCTTCCACATTAATAGAAATCAAGAGGTAGAAAAAATTCAAGGGGATCGTAACACTATGAAATGGGTTTAAGTTGAAGAATACTTGTGCGTTTGAAAATCAAATCAGTTTCTTACCATTGTCTAGAGTGATTCAAAGCTTGGAAATCCCCAGGGAACAAGATTCTCTGCGCGTGCGTAGAGTACTGGAGTTTGAGAAAGAGGGTAGAGAACAGCAAGGTGAGAATTATATTTATCCCAGTGAAGAAAAGAAACAATAATATAAAAATAAAAAATAAAACTCGCGTCATACAATCGTAATGAAATAGTATATTAGAAATTACCCTTCTTGTTTTGAAAGAATTGCAATGAAACCACTGGCCATATGCAATTGATCACCCTGCTGTTTATTTTTGGAAGATTGAGTTAGGAAATGCAAGAGAGAGTTAGGCTCATCTCTCTCTCTAGACTTTAGATTCATTAAGAGTGAGAATTACTTCGCATTCTCTCCCATTCCAACACTTATTTAGGAGGATTCACATTTTTGAACACATGACATGTGTAATCAATGATCCAGCTGTCTAATATATAAGTATCTAACTATCCAGCTGTATGACTTACGTGGCGTGAAATGAGTTCATGTATAATATGAATTGTTCTAAGTATTTTACATTGAAAGAATTACAATGCAACTACGACAAGCAAATTGAATCTTCTTAATCACTTTGCTATGTGATTTTAAAAAGAATTAGGAAGGGTTAGAAAATAAAGGAAAGAATTATGTTCATATCTATAAAATTTTAATTTACATTAATCAAAGAGTGAGAATTACTTCTCATTTTCACTAATTTAAAATCCCTATAAGAGTATTCATGTTTTTAACATGACAAGTGTAACTAAAAATTGAGCTATCGTCTGATGTGTAAATACCTAACCATCTGGCTGCTAGATGATGACTTATGTGTCATGAAATAGTTGGATGAAAGCTTATAGGCAATAAGTTCATGTCTAATATAATATGTTCTAACTATTCTAAATATTGAGAGAATTGCAATGCAACCACTGTCATGAAAATTGAATCTCCTTTATTATTTTGTGCCCTTTACTTTTGAAAGAATGAGAGAGAGAGAGAGAGAGAGAGAGAGAGAGAGAGAAAGAGTTAGGATATAATGGAAATAATTAGGTTCATTTCTATAAGATTTTAGTTTGATAAAGGGATGAGAATCACTTTTCCTTGATCAATGTAAAATCTTAGAGATTATCCTAATTCTTTCTATTATTTCCTAGCTCTCTCTAATTCTTTCCAAAACATACGTGAAAAAGTGAGGGTGGCACCTATTGAGGAAAAAATGGTAGAAAATCGGTTGAGATGGTTTGGGCATGTACAAAGAAGACCAAGGGAGGCACCAGTGAGAAGAGTGGAACATATAACTTTGAGTCCGATTAAGAGAGGTAGAGGAAGGCCTAAGAGAACACTCTTGGAAGTTGTTGAACGTGATCTCTTAATTAATAATATTTCTAAAAGCTTAATAAATGATAGAGCACAATGGCGTCTTGCAATCCATGTAGCCGACCCCACCTAGTGGGATAAAGGCTTGTTGTTGTTGTTGTTGTTGTTGTCTCTAATTCTTTCCAAAGTAATGAGGAAATAAGTAAGGAGATTCAATTTGTATGCTTACTGGTTGCATTGTAATTCTCTCAATGTAAAACAGTTATAACAAATTATATTAGAAATGAATCATTTCACATGCCACGTAAGTCATCATACAATTGGATAATTATATATATATGAACCATATATTTGGATTTTCAGTTACACTTGTTTTGTTAAAAGCATGAATAATACTCTTAAAAGAGGACTTCTCATTCTCATTTAATTTGAATCTTTATTTAAGAGTATTCATGCTTTTAATATGACAAGTGTAACTGACAATCTAACTGTATGATGACTTATACGATGCAAGTTCATGTCTAATATAATTTGTTTTTGACTATTCTTCATTTAGAGAATTACAATGCAACTATTTGGCATACAAATTGAATTTCCTTAGTTACTAATTTGCTCTTCACTTTTGAAAGAATTATATTAGAGAGAGTTAGGAAAGAATAGAAAGATTTAGGCTCATCTCTGTAAAATTTTATGTTGATCAAGGAGTGAGAATCACTTCTCATTCTCTCTCATTTAATTTGAATCCTTATTTCCTTAAGAGTATTCAATCTTTTAACATGACAAGTGTAATTGACAATCTTGTTGTCTGATACATAAATATCTAACTATCCAGCTATATGATGACTATGTGGCGCATGAAATGAATTCATGTCTAATGTAATTTGTTTTAATTATTTTATTATTTAGAGAATTACAATGCAACCATCAGGGGCATACAAATGGAGTCTCCTTAATTACTTTATTCTTTAATTACTGTTGGAAGAATTAGAGAAAGTTAGGATAGAATAGAAAGAATTAGGCTTATCAATCATAGAAAGAATTAGGCTTATGTTACATTGATCAAGAGTGAGAATCACTCCTCATTCTCTTTTATTTGAATCTTATTTTATTTAAAAGTATTCAAGTTTTTTTTAACATAATAAGTGTAAGTGACAATCCACCTCTCTAATGTGTAAGCATCCAATTATTTTGTATGACTTATGTGATGTAAAATAAATTCATGTCTACTATAAGTTGCTCTAAGTATTCTATATTGAGAGAATTACAATGCAACCACTGTGCATGCAATTGAATCTCTTTAATTACTTTTCTATGCACATTTGAACGAATAAGAGAGTTATGACAGCATAGATATAATTAGGTTCTGATCTCTATGGGACTTTACATAATAACTTCTCATTATGTCTCATTTGAATTCTTATCCAAGAGCATTCATGTTTTTTAACATGACATGTATGTAGTTGGTTAAAAAAAAAGTGGCATGCATGTATGTGTGTGACAATTTAGTTGTCTAAAGCATGAACATCTAACTATCTGATTTTCACGCTTATGCGGAGTTAAATGAATGCATGTGAGATATAAGATATGCATTGGTGTAAGTATTTTTCAAGAATTTGTTCCATTCCTTTTAACTTTAATTTCTATTATCTAATATTTAATTGGAAAAAAGAGAAAGAAACAACCAAAGAAATAGATTCATCTCCATAAGATTCACATAGGCGAAAAATGAAAATTGATCTTATTTATTTGGGAAGATAAGCATAAAGTCCCACACAAAAAATTTAAATATAGAAAAGTCCCCTATAATTACAAAATTTCTTTGAAGTCCCATATTCTTTACTAAAGTTTTCAATTCAAATTTGCTATGTTGAAATTGTTAATTACTATTGGACAATTGTTAATGAAGTTGCTTAGTTGACAATTCTTAGCAACAAAAATTAACAACTATCTAGCAATAATAAAAAAATTTTAGTAAAGGCATCGTGATCTCAGATCAATTTTGTGATTTTATAGGACTTCTATTTATTTGTTAGACCTCACAAAGTGATTTCCTCTATTTCTATGTCATTTGAGTCCATATTTAAAAGGATTCAAGTTGTTTGACATGATGATATGTATGTGTCACTGATAATTTAATTATACTAAGTGTTTGATAATTCAACATTATATATATTGTCAAATGTTCAAGTACATGACATTGCAAGTAGTTGGTACTTGTGAGTGGCATGAAATGATAACAGTGTCCACATAAAACATGTGGTATTTAGATAGATGAGAGTAAAAGTCCTTACTATTTATCCACACATAATGAAAATTGGAATGATGTTTAAGGGACTATATTATTTATAATTTATGAATATGTGATTTATATTTTCAAAAATATTTTTCTCCTTCATTCTTTGTTATTATATGTACTAAAGGACAGATAAGAGTAAATTAAATCCATTTTTCTTTCAGGCATTATTTTTCAAATATAAGCATAACTCTATGATACATTTTTTTAGGAAAAATCACATCCAATAACCTCCCAAGCAACTTATTCATGATCAAGGACTAAATGAAATTAAATTATGCAAAAAGACTAAAATACCCTTGATACATATTTATTTTAAAAAAAGTCCACCATTGAACCTCTAGCGCCGACAACCAATTAAACCATTTAATCACTAATGGTGGCCATGGAAGTTTGAACCAAAGACCCTTGATCACTTAAAAAGTCAATGACTGTCATATAGAGCCAGTAATTTTGGCCAAGCCTGACGGGCCAACCCGAACCCGCTCAAAAAATTTAAGGTCAAGCCCAAAAAAAATATTATTTTTTATTATTTAGGCCTATTCAAGCCGCCTGAATAGGCCCGAGGAAATTTGAGCCAAACCCGATCGGGTTCGGGCTTGGCCTGAATACCCGAATAAAAAAAATAAATTTTTTTAAAAAATATAAAATATGATAAATATTAATTAATTTTTTAAGTTTTATATCATTTTATACCAAAATACTATATATATGAGTTTTTTAATATATTTTTTTTTTAAAAAATTTAAAATAGTTTTATTTCATATTTTTATTATTTTTAATCAATAAAATATTTTAAAATAATATTTAAAATATATTTTAATATTAATTTTTATATTTTAAGACCCAATTTTTTTAAAAAAATTTTGAATTCTATAAATAATTTGGGTATAAAAAATAATTTCATATTTTTTATAAATTAAGATAGTTAATTTTAAAGTAAAATTAAAAATAAAAATAATTTTAAAAATAAAATTTGGCCATGTATGAATTCTCCATTCTACTACTAGATAAACATAATAAATAGAATAATATTCTTGAATAATAAATTTTTTATTATCCATGCTAGACTTAATTAAAAATTAAGAGTAAACTAGAATAAGAATCCCTTATATATGAGAGTTAAACAATATAAAAAGTTAAAGAAATATGATTTCAAAAACATAATATTTTACTCATAATTAAATATTTTTTTATATAATATAATAATGGTAATTTTTTTTATATTCATAAAAATAAAAAGTACAATTTACCTAAAAGTTATTAAAAATTTTGAACTAATTAGGACAATAATTTTTAGTTAATAGTCTAACTATAGTTGAATTGAGATTAACTTAATCATAATTAAAATAATGTAATTTAATTAAAATATATAAAATATTTATATATGACTATAATAAGAGTAATATTTAAATAATTAAGATATTAATTTAAAAGTAAAGAAAACATTTATGAATAAATTATACATAACACAATAAAATAATAACAGAGC